TCTCTTATTTTTATTTTAGTCAGTAATACCCATGTTTGGATATTTTGAAGCAAGCAGAGTCCTGCCTGGTCCACAGCATACAAAGCTCCTTGTGGGAAGCAGCAGTTCCCAGGACACAAAGAAGGGAAGCGTCTGAAGTGAAGGCATCCCTAAAGTGAACAATGTTGCCTTGACGAGCTCAGCACTCAACCTGATACAGCGCTAACCTAAACAACTACAACAGACTCCAGCTAGGTTTTTTTCTGAGTTGTAGTAGGGATTTAACCTGGTGTCCTAAGTATGTCAGTGAATATCTGGCTACTGAACTACAACCCCAGTCCAGTGTAAGCGACTGCATCTCAACCCTGCCACTACCCACTCCTGCCTGAACACTGAGATAATACAACTGAAAGAATATAAGAGATTAAAACCTCTGATGCCCAAATCCCATAAAGAAACACAAAAATTAGGAAAAAAACCCCTAAAAAACCAAGGCAACACAACTCCTTCAAAGTCAACAATTCCAAATTAATGGGCTCTTAATGACAATGGAGTGGATGAAATTTCAAAGAATTTGAAAGAATGATTATAAGAATGATCAATAATATCAAAGGACAGGAAGAGACACCTGAATGAATTAAGAAATACTAATAAACAGCAGAATGAAGTAAGGAAATGATGCAGGATATTAAAGAGGAATTTAATAAAGATATAGAAGTCCTGAAAAAAAAATCTAACTGAAATTCTGGAAATGAAAGTCTCAAATCAAATTTGAAAACTCAGCTAAAAACTTTACCAATAGGACCAAGTAGAAGACAGAATATCAAGGCTGAATCATGGACATAAAAGAAATAGAGGCACAGAAAACATATTCAATAACATAATAGCAGAAAATTTCCCTAATCATTTCACCAATCTTCAATAGATGCAGAAAAGGACTTTGACAAAATCCAACATCACTTCATGATAAAAATTCCTGAAGAAACTAGGAATAAAAGATTCACACCTCAACATAATAAAGGATAGATATGACAGATCCATAGCCAACATTACACAAACTGGGGAAAAACTGACAGCATTTCCTTGAAAACCAGGATTGAAACAAGGGTGGTTCATTATCACCACTCTTGTTCAAAAGAGTGCTTGAATTCTTAACCTGAGCAATAAGGCAGCAGAAAGAAATAAAAGGGATATAAACGAGAAAGTTAGCTATCAGACTATCTCTTTTGCAGATGATATACTCCTATACTTAAAAGACTCCACTAGAAGACTCCTAGATCTGATATCCACTTTTAGCAAAATAGCAGGATTCAAAGTCAACATATAAAAAACAGTAGCTTTTCTATACACCAACAACAAACTCACTGAAAAAGAAGTTAGGAAAGCAATCCCATTCAAAATAGCCTTAAGGATGTGGGTCAATCTGGCTATGACATCTGTCACCCCATTGATCGCCAGCGTTGATTCGGCTGATCTGGCTGGTTAGGTGGGTGTCCCTTTCCTCCCTCATTGCTCCATGTGTGTCTCTCCATATGTGCACGTGGTTGAAGAGGACAATCACCCCTGATAGAGGAAGACTGTTCTTCAGTCAAGGGTATATGAGTAGCTCCCCTGCTAGAACCTCCAAACAAACTTTCAAAATAGCTTTGAAAGGGTTGTTGGAGGTGAGAGGGTGAATGGAGGAGATGAAGATGAGGGAATATAGTTAATAGCTTCATAAACAATATATGAAACAGAATAATGAAACCTCTGCAATTGTTATAGGTGGGGTGGGCAGGAGGTTCCTGGAAGTGGGGAGACGATGGGGGGCAATCTAATCAATGTACAATGTACGGCTATTTGGAATTAACACAATGAATCCTACCTGTAAAATGAATATATGCTAATAAAAATGAAAAGATTAGCCAAACAAAAAAAATCTGGGTGCCAGTGGTTCATGCCTATAATCCTAGCTACTCAGAGGCAGAGATTAGGAGAATTGTGGTTCAAAGTCAGCTTAGGCAAATAGTTCCTGAGACCCTATCTCGAAAATACCCAACACAAAATAGGGCTGGTGGAGTGGCTCAAGTGGTAGAGCACCTGCTGAGCAAGCATGAGGCCCTGAGTTCAAACCCTGGTATCACAAAAAAAAAAGAAGAGCCTAGGTATAAACTTAACCAAGGATGTTAAAGACCACTACAATGAAAACTACAAAGCAATGAAGAAAGAAACTGCAGAAGACTTTAGAAGATGGAAAAGCCCTCCCATGTTAAAATGGGCATACTATCAAAGGTAATACACAAATTCAATGCAAGCCCCATCAAAATTCCAAAGACATTCTTCACAGAAATAGAAAAAAGAATCCTAAAATTCATATGGAAAGCCAGGTGGTGGCTCACACCCACAATTCTAGCTACTTGGGAGGATGAGATTGGGAGGATCACTGTTCAAGGATAGCCCAGGTAAATAGTTCATGAGAACTCACCTCCAAAAGGTAACTAGACCAAAATGGACTGGAGGTGTGGCTCAAGAGGTAGAGCATATGCTTTGCAAGAGTGAAGTCCTGAGTCAAACCACCTCCCCCCCATAAAAAAGAACCCAAAACACCACCAGCACCACAAAAAGCTTCTGTACAACAAAAACAAAAGAAATAACAGTTACAAGAGACAGCCTACCTAAAGGGAGAAAAATCTTTGCCAGATACTAATTCACCAGAGGATTAATGACCAGAATATTTAGAGCTCAAAATTAAACACCAAAGGAAAAAATCTAATCAGTAACTGAGCACATGACATGAACTGAATACTTTTCAAATGAAAAAAATACAAATGGCCAATAAATGTATGAAAAAATGTTCAAGAATCCTAACCATCAGAGAAATGAAAATCAAAACTGCAAAGATACTGTTGATGATATGCATGAATGGAAATAACCTGATGAAACCCCTTCTGTGTACAATTTAATATAAGCTGATTAAAAAATAGAAAATAATTATGAACTGCTTTTATGAAGTGCTCCCTCTCTCTCCCTCCCTCCCTCCCTCCGTGCCTCTGATTGAACCAAGGGCCTGATACATGCTAAACAATTGCTCTACCACTGAGCTACATACATCCCCTGCCCTAAGAAACCTTTCCATTTTTCTTTTTTTTATACACGGTCCTTTGTTTTTAAAATCCAGCAATGTCTCATAAATTTTAAATGCAATCAGGGCATACAGATTCTAAATGAAATAATTCTTTATTACTCACAGATTCTATTTGTAAATGTACCTATTCATTAAAAATCTGTAAAACTCCAAAATCAACTCACATGGCATTTTTCAAGGCCATTGGTGGACATGCACAAGGCAGCAGAAGTTTGAGTCATTGATGTGCATATCCACAGCTGAGGTCAAACAAGGTAACACCTTATTGTTTTAGCCCTTATACTAGTTAAACAAGTGTCTTTTTATGATTTCACTGATAGAACTGAAGTGTTGTCTGTAGTGTTCTTCAGGACAAGATTGTAATAAACCTTATGAGGAAAATATGTGTGCTGCGTCAGTTTTACTCAGGCATGTGTTATAGTACTGTTAGCAGTGACTCAATGTTAATGATGAATGCAAAGTTTCCTTAAAAAGAAACACATAAAACAAGGTTACATATGGATCAATTGAGAAAAATGCTGTGACCAAAAGCTCAAAGGAATCTAACTGTATTTTCTGTAGAAGTAATGATGCAATATTCACTATTCAATGCTCTCAGACACTTTACAGATGCGTGTTTATGAATGAGATTCAATTTTTTTTAATGTCTCTAAAAGTAAGTATGTAAAGTTGCTGAACATAGTGTAGAAAAGCAGTAAAGATGGCGGCTAGAGGGAGGAATCAGAAAGCGTGCCTCCTACAGTGAAATGTTGGAGAAATGATATGGAGACATACTTTGCAGGCAAGGCCACTGAGAAGAGGCAAAACTTTGACCCCTCCACACCTCCAGCCTGCACAGAGAATCTCCACTTCACATTAAACAGAGAAACGAGGAGGGCCCCTGGGCCGCCAGAGGCCTGTGCCCAGATGGCTTGGGAAGACGTGGACAAGGTGAGCTAAGTGGCACGCGGTACAACGGACAATCCTGGGCCAGATCAGCACAGCTAAGTGGCACGTGGTACAACAGACAATCCTGGGCCAGATCAGCACAGGCCCTGGACAGACCAATCCCCACCCAGGGAAAAAAGGAGAAACTGAGTAATAAGCAATAAGAACAATAAAGATACATAGCAAAGAGGGTGGGGCGCCCTGAGCTCCGAAGAGTGGGGGGAGGGGAATCCATCCCGGAACTATAAATAAACAAGCCGGGCCTGGCCAGAGAGGCTCTGGTGGGAGAAGGGGTGCGCACCCTGCAACCAAGAGCAGGAAAGCTTGTGAGAGTGGCGGAGGGAGGAAAACTCCACAGGAGTGGGGGGAAGACCCACTTCCCACATGAACTGTAAATAAACATGCAGGCCTGAGAAAGCGGATGCAGTGTCACCTCCCCCAGTGTGCTTGGAAAGGGGAAAGCTTGTAGCAGCAGCTCCTGCACAGGAGAACTCTGAGTAAACAAAGCCTGTGGGGCTAGGGGAGTGCCAAGTTCACCCCAGAGATCTGCATAAATAATGCCACCAGCAACAGCAGGCTGACAGCAGCAGGCAGGCAAGCCATAGCCGCAGATACCATTCTCAGAACTGTCTCCAGACTCTTTTTTTTTCTCTCCCTACCTTTGATGAGAAAACAACTGAACTACACCTGCATGCTGAAAAACTTACTGAAACTGTATTGCATTTGAACTTGGGAC